GGATTTTCAAGTCAAGTTTCTTGCAATACTGATCCTCAGCTGATTGTGAGGGTCTGCTTTGGGTCAAAAGTACATAGATATATCAGCCTGCTAACAATATAGATGAATGTGTCTCCTTTTGACATCCTGAAATGGCCAGTGAGAGGAGTACTAGCTTCCCTTCTTGGAGCTATTTAAAATAATCCCCCTGTATGTTCTGCATATTTGTGCAAGACCTAAGGTCTAGAAAAATCAGTATCAAGCAGTATCCATATGTAAAGAAATAAAGTACTTATCCATTCAAAACTCCGGCAACACAAGGGGAAAGATAATCTTTCATGTCTTCATGATAACTTAAGACAACAAACCATGGAATACAGATTTTAAAATATATACTCCCTTACAATAATTTAATAAACCATACTGTCATCTCATAAAGAATCTGGATGGTTGCCATGGTGACAAAGATTATCTTTGCTACTGCTTGATTCTGTCATTTCTCTAAACACGGACTCAGAATATTTAGGATTTATTAACAATGTGTCACGTTGATAGAGACAAATTACATGCTTTAAACTGGCCATTTAAGTCTTCTATGGTATTATAACCACTTTGTCAACTCAGCAATAAGATATGATGTGATTACTAGAAAATTAAAGCTATTTGTCATAAAAGATGCAACAGATAGTTTCAAATCCCTAAACACAACAACAGTAAAAAATGTCCAATAATCTAATGTGTTTCCTTATGTTAAATATTTTGAAGCTAGCAAATAGTCAGTATTTTCTGTCTCATAAATTGATGCAGATTAGCTTATATTGAGACTAGATTTATTTGTGCGGGGAAAATTTGGGTTGTAATATATCAAAATTGATGTGTTCCAGGCTGCAATTTTTTTTTATGGTTCAAATTGTAATAGGGAGTTTGTGAAACGGTCTTAATGATGGGACACTTTGCAATATGTAGAAGCAAATGTGCACATACTTGTGTATTATGAAGATGTATTTCACCTCAAGGAATTTGGCCTTGGCCTTTCTCATGTCGTATCTACCTGCTCTGGCCACCTCTCTGTGTTCACTCCAAGTGGCCTGACCCCACTTCCACCTCCTGTGCATTTTTTGCTTATGTTTCAGTACTGACAGGTTCATCCACAGAGGTTTCATGGATTCTTGGCCCAATTTCTTTCTCATTGGGGTGCATCATTCTTGACCCTGGAGGAAGTGAAACTTAAACTCTCTTGGACCTCTTTTCCCTGCAGGGCTTGCTCCCTGGGATTTGTCCAAGAAGATCCCTAAAGGGGTTGAAGTTTGCCCCTGAAGTCCATAGTTGTAGTTTTAGTTGTGTCCTCTAACCTCGTTGTTTGATACTGAACTCTACAATCTCATGATCAGTGCAGCCAAGGCTGCCCCCAACCTTCATGCCATCAAGAAGGCCTTCGTAGTTGCTTAGTATAAGGTCAAGCAACAACCATTTCTTGTGGGAACCTCCACAACCCATGACAAGGAATTGTCATCAATGCTTTTCAGGAACCTCCTGGACTGTTTGTGCTTTGCTGTGTGGCTTTTCCATCAGGTGTCAGGGTAGTTAAACTCTCCCACAAGTCTGATTTCTTCCTAATCACAACCTTTGAGATTTATAGAACAATAAATGAACTATACACCCAGACTTAATGAGCAAGAAGAAAACTGAATAAACAGTGCTTTTAGTTTAATGACATCATATAATTAGCTTAGTTATGCTGCCATATGTTAGTGGCTAACAGTGATATGTATTTTACCCTTTGTCACTCTTTACCTTTGTGAAAAAATATTCTATCTGAAGACAACATAGGCTAATGCTGTAAAACAGTTATGTTTTTTTGCAAAGCAGACAGTCTTTTCAGATACTATCAAAAAACTCCATTCTATATTTATTTTCAAGGACCTATGCAAAGATTTGAGGAGGGAAAGTTCCATTTTCTATTAGATTTCTATGGCAATGTACATCCTGTTACAACCTGAGCAAATAACTAAGGTTGTAAATGGAAGTTTTCAGTTGCCTTCGATAGGCATTAAAGTAGCTCCTTAGAGCTGAAATGTAATATGCCTATCTTTCTCTCTGTTGGACTAGTTTTGTGGTCAGTGTTCCTGTTATTTAGATCCTGCAGACTAAATCTAATGCTGAAATACAAGGAGGCATCTCCCACAGAGGCCAGTGAGATTTGCATTTGATTTTGTCAAAGACAAATTTGATCCAGTGTTATATACCAGTTCCCTACTACAGGAAATATATATGCTCAATACCATAAACCAGGCACTCTGCATAGCCTTAATGATTTTATTGCACACCTTTAATAAACACTCTTTAAATTTCTTCACCTGCATGCAAACAGGGCTGTGCAAGCTTGATTTAATTCTGGTTTATTCTTCTAAAATTCAACATCTTACATTTTCAATATTTTCTGATTTTGGTGCAAAAAATGAGAGTAAAGAGTTACAGAGGTATATAGGAGTAACTTAATATCAATATTTTAGTTGAAGAATTTTGTACAAAAGGGATGGCATAACAAGGAAAGAAAAATACTGTACCGCTTCCTTTTTTAACTAGGCAATTCTCAGTGCTTTGGTATACAGCATGATTAAAATGAGCCATTCTCTTAGACAATCCTTCCTAACCCGTGAACTTTTACCTCTGTAATTTGTACTGAGCACTGAGTCTCCCTTTTACTGTGTGTTGGAAATACCAGTCCAGTATGTGAGCTTTAAAAATTTTAGAAGATGTAGTAAAAAGAACATTTTTTTCCCTTCCAAAGGTAATTTGGAAAACAGAAAATATTAACCCAGATAGACAACTCAAGATATATACAGAAAAATGTTTAGCAAAAGGATGTTTTTTTCTGATTCATGACCAGCATGTTACAGTACAGCTATTACAGCGAAACCTATTCTTGCCTTTAAAAGTAGCCACATAGCTCAATTAAAAACAGAATAATTAAAGACACGTAAAGCTATGATTTTTATATATTGTCTGTGACTCTAAATGAAATTAAACTTTATTGTATATAATTGTAAATATGCAGATGGTAAAGCCATGGCTCTGTTAAAATATTGAAACACTTTTTTGCTATGCGAATTCATCTGATATTTTTCTGCATGAAAATTTTGAAAATATTGATAAATCTACATTGCATTGTTTTCAGAAATTCATCAACAGAAACTGGAGAGACATGAGAAACGAACACCTTCAAAGGGTAACTTTATTTTTGTGTCTGTTTGCCTTCATACAAGTATGAAATATAGTGTCTTTGTTAACTGCATGCATTACCACTGTTGTGTTATAGAAGCATTTCAAGATCGGTTGGCACAGACTACAAATGATTAAAAATTCATGTATACCTTAACAAAAAATGTAATTTTATGTTTGTGTGGCTATATTGTAAATGCACATTCATAATAAGATTCTCCTACCCAAACTTATGCTGAAATTCTAGCAAAGGTGCAAGAAAGTAGAGTGTTGATGAACTTCCTCTGGTGCAAGAGGCATGAAGTGTGTTGGACAAGGAAGAAAGCAAATTTATAGGCCAGTGGGTGCCATCCAAGTTAGGAAGTCATAGTTAGCAGTGAGCCAGGTGTGTATCAGAGATAAGAAAAGCCTCCATTTTAAGAACTTACCTTTTTTCAGGCTGTTTAATCTGCTATAACTCGCACTTTCTAAAAATCCACAGAGGAACTGGTTTGGACTGGTATTTGGAGGTCGTGTAAATAATGAAGGTTCCTGGAATATGTGTGGAATTTTTTGCCTAACGAAACCTTCTCCATAAAGCTTAGGGCACATAAAACTTGATGAACACCCCTCTGATGCACCAGTGCTGTGCTTGGTAATGGCAGGAGGAAGCAAGAAGGAAGCTTATTAGAAATAGTGGGTATATACATACACCCTCCCTCACACAATGACATCCATTTCTATATATAGTCTTTGTAATTTTTTATAGCATTTTGCACTGCTAGTGCTAGCCTTCCAGTTCTGTGGTAATCAGGGTCATCTGGAGTGCCTAGAACTGCTTCCCAACTAGTCAATAAATCATGTTGCATGAAAATGAATATTTTAGGGTACCAGTGAGCTAGACAGGCCATAATGAACTCAGATCTGTTTGCAAGGGATCCCAGTTAAGGCTATTTTCAAGCACAGTAATCTGAAAACATAAATGATGTTGCAATCTTGACCAAAACAACCTCTTGTGTACCATTTTATCTATACAGAAGTGCATGGCTTTACATAGAAGAATATTAACATTGCAGTTATATGATGCCAGAAAAAAAGTGTTCAGGTGTCATTAGTTAAGCCCCTTTATACATGTGCCTGATAATGCAGTCTTTAATTATACAACCAGTTACTGAAACACCAAGACAAATATTTTTCTTTCTGTATTTTGTTTTCATGTTTAGTCCCAAAACTGCAACTTTCGCATAGGAGAAACAGTTACAATAAAACAATCTGTCTCACCTCAAGTTAGAGTGTGATAAAGGCATAACTCTTTAGGGAATTTTACTGTTACCTTCTAAATTACCTTCAGGAAGCATGTACAAACACAAACTTTTATTCTTTTTTTTTTTTTTTTGTAGGAAAAATCCAGAAGTAAAATGAATGTTTATAATAGCAGCAAACAACTCAAAAAAATTTCAGTCTTCCACCCAAAAGTGTTGGGAGACTAGAGTTTTAAAAGCAATTTTATTTTATTTCTTTTAATAGTCAAACCCTCCGAATCAAAGTCCCAAGATTAACAAGGAAGCTTCGGAGAGATTGAATTGAAATATGAGGAATAGTTATAATGAATACAAATCCCAGATGGAAGTGGCTGAAATTATGAGATTCTTACAGTATTGAGAGCCAAGAAAATTCGTGCCCTAAAATTTGCTTTTACTTAAATATTTTGATAAACTGCTAGCAATAATGTCCATTTCAATTATTGTAGTCAATTTAATCCTGGAAAGAAGAAATACTCTGAAAACTAATTACACAAAGCAGTCAGTCATGCTTAAGAGCCCTGAAATCAAATTATTTCATGATTACATGTACACATAAGCACAGGTTCACTACAAAATAGGCTCTTTCCAATTTGGTATTATACTTGCACAAATGTACTAGTATTTTCACAAGGGCCAGTGGCATCCTGCAATGTATGAGCAGGAGCTTGGCAAAGTCAGTGGAGGTAAGGGATTAATTATCCCCCTGTACTCAACAGTCATGAGACAGAATCTAGATACTGTGTTCCATTCTGGGCCTCCCAGCTCAGGAAAGCCATCCATACACTGGAGTGGGTTCAGTGTGGAGCCGCTCAATGGCTGGGGCTGGAGCAGTAGTCCCGAGGGGAGAGGCCAAGGGATGGGGCTGCCTCAGCCTAGGGCAGTTGTTCTGTGAGCCTGTCATTTTGTGATACAGTGTAGATTTTTGTAGATACATTCTGAGCTGGTGCCGAAGGCTGTTGAAGAAATAGGTGTTTGTGAGAGGCTGAAGTGTTAAAGGTTAATGACTCAAACAATTGGGCATTTGCAAAAGCGACAGGGTGCTCTGCTGAGTTATTACTGTTATACCAATGGATAAGGGGTAACTGCATGTAATTGTGGCAACAAGAACAATAATAACAAATATTGAGGAAAAAAAAGTATGTGTAAGTATGTAATTTCTGTCTAATGGAAGGTCCAATGATAATTCCTGACTTTTATGGAAAACTGATATTGCCAGTGAAATTAATTGCCCTGCATTTCTGGTAAATAGCTCTAATTAGAACAGATGCTGAGAAGGAGTGGGGAAAAGGTTGATTTACTGTGTGGCTTTGCCCAAAATAACTTCACTAATACATTGCTCTTGAGTGAGGGATGGAAGAAAACGATGTAATGATGGCTACCTCTGATAGCCATACATTAAACCACAGAGATTTTACAACAGATACTTGTGTGCCTCTGAATTGACACCAGGCCCTCAGGGTTTGTTTTTTTTTGCAGAAAGTATCTCTGAATTCAGCCTGATTTGACAAATAGATTCCAGGCCCCTCGAAACTATTTCATTTACTATGCATAACATATTGAGTTGTTAATAAGTCTGTACTGATAATGCAAATATTAAACATCACACAATAAAACATTTTAGCATATCGATAAATTATGAGCCTATAAAGACAAATATAATGTGTTTCCATAATTTAATTTGCTGTAGCTAGAGGAAAAAGTATTTGAGACAGGTAAGTAGATAAATAGAGCTAGAATATAGAAATCCATAGTGTACTAGAAACCCACATAATTTGACAAAGTTAGCAAATTACATGGCAAAATTTTTACACAGGGACTGTCTAGCCTGGTATTTCAAGGTACAGCTACAAATATGCCTGTGTTAGCTTTAAACTAGGGAACATGTTACAGATAGCAGTGTAGCTGTAGTTTCATTAAATTATTAATTTGGACCTGGGAGCCTGTGTCCCTCTCCAGATCAAGACCTTTTTTTGGGGGCTGTTTATTTTTTTTCAGTGTTCCTTCAAGAAGAATTAAGTTATAGCCATCCAAAGTTACTTTACTTCCAAATGAAAGCATCTATACAGAGATTTAATGCTCTCTGACTAATGCACTCTAACTTCATTGTATTAGTTCATTTATCTTAACTTTCCTGAGAGTGCTGCTCTGTAGACAAGCACTTAGTCAGTTAGCTGGAGCGAGCAATCTCTGCTTCATGCTTCCTGCACTCATCACCTAGCTTTGTACTGAGCAGCAGACTTAAGACTTACTCAGCTGGAAACTATTTTTACTTCCCCTAGGTATGGAACTCGTGCCTCTTTATTATGTCTCTTCTTTTTGCACTTTCTGTTTTGGGGTGGTGAATGTCTTTGTCTCAAGCTCTTAATTGGAGAAAAACTAAATCACATCCTCCTTCACTATGCCTTCAGCTTGCCACAAATAAAACATACTATGATGATTGAAATTTGGAAAATTCTCTCACATATATACTATGCTTCTTGGTTTTAATTTTAAGTGAAGTAAATAGCAATATTAAGGCTGAAATGCATTATTAAATTACCTTTAAATTTTCCATCACAAGCTCCCATTTTAGATTATTTATAAATTTATCACACTCCAGTCACTGGGGATGAAATTCCCCATGCTCATCTTTTTCCCTCAGGCTGAATTTTCATTCAAAAACATATAAAAATGTTTCAGCAATTTCCAAAATCTAGGTTAGTGAAAATTAGGTTGGGGTGCTATATTTTTTCCAATGCTAATAACAGTTCATCCTGAGCTTATGACTTTTCGCTATTTGCAAGGAAGACCAAGAGAATTTCTTTTTAGCTGTGGAAAAATTTTAGCTTACTTAATTGTTATAAAAGTAGTTTTGCTGTTCTTCTAATTTTTTTTTCTGGATTAATCCAGCATCCTGCTAACAGAAGAAAAGAGGTGATTTTGTAATTACAAAGTGTGTCATAAAGCAAATAAAATAGTTGAATTAAAGTTGAAAGAACAGTTACAGTTTCAGCATTTTCTAGCTGAAAAGTGTGTGCCTGAGCAGCCTTAAAAGCATATTTATATGCTACTTCTTTTTTTTTTTTTTTTGTAGTGTGGAAAAGAAAATCTTATCAACTCTAATTTGTCTCACAGAAACATGACAGTATGGCCAGTCTAACTTATTCAAAAACCTGATGCTTGCAACTAGAGCTGTGGGTTTAAAAAAGAGCATGTATTAGGCCTTTTACAAAGAAATAGATATCCGAGTGACAACATCTGGAAAAGGTCTGTAGACAGTGGTGGATTTTCTATGACAGAGATTTTACAACTACATGTGAAGATGAACATGAAAACATTTCAGGAGAGAAAACTGAGTTAATATGCTAAGAAATATAATTTTTAAATTTATCAGTTCAAAAGCTTCAGTGGATTTTGGTGGACTTGTCATTGAAGAGACAAAAATGGCCAGTCATCACAGCCCTGAAACATGAACGCTTTAATTCTTGGCAGCACCTGCCCTTCCCGAAAAAGGGAAGACATAGCTCTGGCAGTGTCCATAAAAGGCAATGATAAACATTATGATCTGAGATTAGCAACCTCAGGCTATGGGGGTATCAACACACAGGACAGGGCTCTTAAACTAACTAGATATCACCTTCAGCCTGTAATTGGGATGAGAAAAATAGCTTATGCTTATGCCAGCTCTGTCTCTGCTTATCCACATTCCAGGCTCCCTGCCCAGATACATCAAGTTACTTTTATTTCTCAAGAAGGGGCCAACTGATCCATTCTCCATAGTTTTGGCTGCAGTCCACACAAATATTAATATTTCCTTGCCCTTTATAGCATTTCGAGGATGTGAACCTTAAATTAGATTTTTCTGTCCACTATCAGGTCTGGTGTCACTCAATTCAGTTGGTATCATTCAAGGCTCATTTTGTAGATTTTCTTTTTTTTCCCCTCCCAAATCATTAAATAGGAAAATGATATGGGGAGTCTACAATGATTTTTTAAATAAACCACAACAGCCTCCCTCACACAAGTAGGATGTCCTGTGGTTAAAACCACACTTTCCCGTTAACAGTGATTCTGCCATATTTTGCTGTTTTTTGCTGTATTTTGCATTATTCACCTGTATTTTTGGCATAGAGGCTACAAGGACTTTTACCTGATGTGCAGAAGTTTGTGTTTCTCTCACATTGACCATCACAAACCTATTGTTTGCAAAACTGTGCTGTTGCCTCAGCCAAAACTGACAACACACTGGCTTGAAGTGTTTTGCACAGAGCTAGCACCTGCTAATGCAAATGTAAGATGTAAAAGCATGCTACAATTTCTGCAAAATATTCAGTTCAAGTTCTATATGGTATATATAGAGAGAGGAGAATGTTTTCCCTTGGTATGGTACTAGATGTCCTAAAGCAACTGAACAAGTTACAGTCTGTAATTCATTCAGTAAGACATTGCTGGTGCTGCTGCATTCTTCATAGCCTGTTTCTTTTAGTGTAAATTTGCTGTCCACAATCCTTAAAGGCTTTGAAAAAATCTCCCTTCAGCCTCTTTTCACTGTTCTGTCCTTAGTTATCAACAGTAATTTACCTGTTATGGTTGGAAAAGCATTTGGGTAATGCAAACACATGTAAGACATAATGAATTTACTGAATGTTCTGGATGATTTTTCTCAAAGACAAGGATGTGTTTTTTAATGAGGAAATACTTAAGCAACAAAAAAATGCTTGCACCTTTGTGAAATGACATTTCTGCATAGCTAGTGAAATGAATGGATGAAAAACTATTAATGTGCTTGTGTATAAAGCTGAATGTTGTCTTCTAACCAGAGTGGTATTTTCTGGGTCTTACTTGTTGACAGAAACGTGAGCGTTGCGAAGAAAATATATTTTCCTTGAAATTGCAAAATGTGAATCTTTTAAAAGTACAGGTTGGTAAGGAAGGAAGAAACGTTTTTGCTTACACAAATCATTAGATGTGGGATAGAACCACATCTAAACATGGTCTGAAATCTGGGTGTCCAGTAGAGTCCATAAGGACTCATATCTGTCTGCTTCTAGTAGGACATGTAGTGGGTTGCATTTTGAACAGCTGCTCTTCCTGAAGTTACACACTGATTAAAAGAGATGTTTTCTTGTTAATCCATCCAGTGACTGAAGTAACAGCTAAAAATAAAGAAAAAATAGCATAGAAAGCAATTTGCTGTCTGATTTATTTTTTTTTTTGTTAAGAATAGAAAGCAATGCTGTCAAGTACTGAAAATAATTCCCTCTGTCAGAAATCTTAGAGTCAGTGTAGTTGTGTAATGGGACCAAAAGAGATTGGACAGATTAGGTGAAGGTTGCTGAATAATCACTTCTTTCAGTAAAATATAGTCTAACATCTGAAGGTTTATTCAAGGAAAAATATTTCTTTTGGACTTGGAATTAAATATTGACATTAAGAAGGTCTATACATTATCTAGTACCTGTGACTCAGAGTAAAAATCCATTATTTGAATATACAAATGTTTTTCTTGATCACTTTGGTGAGATAATAAGTGTACTTAATACCTCTAGATTACAGACTTATTGTGAGCTGGAATTTAATTCTTTATTTATTGTGTTTAGCAATTCACAAAGACAAATCAGACAGACAAGAAAAAATCGAGAGGAAGGAACCCCTAAAGGGTATGTATTCAGCATTTTATATTCTTTGCCTTTTTACCAAAGCTGTCAAATCTATTGACTCTTAGGCAGTTCTTGTAGATCCCAATTATGTTTAAGGATGGAGGAGGTGTTGTGAAAGCCAGCTGGAATGAGGACTTTAAAAGCACTTTGAATTCATCACTCTGCAGAAAGGCTGAAATTATATTCGGAGATTAATGAATAAGTCTTTACTGCAATATTAACTTACGTAAAAGATGCCCAGAGCATAAATAGGTGCCTTTTTTATTCTTCTTGAATAAATCCAAGCATAATATTTGTCACTGAGAGTACTTCTGAGCAAAATGTAGTGAGTAAATTATAGCATAGTGGACAGGGGCCCTGAAGACATTCTGCTTTGGAGACATGCCTTAGGAAAAAAGAAAAAAAATCCCCCAGCTTTATTTCAGAGACATTGAGAGGTTTTAAAAAGAATTTACTAATTTTCTGCTGGTGTATGCCAACAACAAATTACAGATCTGCCTATTGTAGGAGGCAGAATCAAGATTCTGCTTCCTCTCTGCCTATGACTCAGAGTTAGCTCTGGGCTCCAAAATCCAGCATCTAGTTTGCCTTTTGCAAGGGATATTTTAGCAAGATGGAATTTTATTGGAGTGTACCTACTTGTCAAACCACTTTAAGCCTTCTGAGAACATGTCCTTTGAACAAAAATGTGGTTAATGAAGTCCTGGGCTGTAGAAAGAAACCCATAGTGGAAAAGCAAATAGGCCAATGATCATAATAAATCACCCCCAAAAAAAGGAAGACTGAATATCCAGCCGCAGCTGACTTATTCAGGCCAAGAACACTAGTCTCATGATACAAGTGAACGTGCAGCTCCTGAAAACTGTTCTTGACTAGGCCTTTCTAATGGTCTCTGATTGGAGCTTATGCATTTTATGTAAGTAATTCAAAATTTATTGAGTTAACAAGACTGAATTTAGAGGTTAATGGCAGGCATATAAATTCAGGTTTATGTTAGAATGAATATTTATTGCTAGAAAATGGAATGGTGTAACATGAGAAATGTTTTCTGAGATTTGGAAAAATGATAAAGCAAAGAAAGTAATGTCCTGGATTGAAATACGAATGTCTTTAAGACTTCTGTTATTTTGTGGAAAACTTGGGAAACTCTTCAATTTGATTTCACAGGAGAACAGTAATTAATGTTTTTTAAAGTTTCCTAGAACAAGAAAAAAATTATCCCATCCAATCTTAGATAGCCAGTGAGAAAGAATAAAGACTATTATGCTGCCTCAACTTGGCATAACTTCTATTAATATTCTGTCTACCTGATTGCATTTTATCTTAAAGTGAATGTATCAGTTTTGTTTAGTGAACTATTGCCACAATTATTACCAAAATACAACTGTGTAGAGACATTCTCTGTAATCACAGTATTAAGAAGCATTGCTTTCAGAGTGTATATTAAATTTTAAAACTATGACTATGGCTTTGTGCCTTTCTAAGGCACATTTCATTGTAGTGTGACTTGGTCACACCATCCCTGTATTTTAACTGCTTATTTTCTACCTTAAGCTTTCTACATTCTCTTTTCAAGGTCTAGATTATGGAGAGTAAAAATAGCATCCTATTCTAATTCATAATCAACTTCTGTAACGAAGTTTAGGAAAGTTTTCTAATGGCACAGGGAGTAATTGAAAGGTCTCAGCCACTTATAAGTGACTTGGTCAGCTATGTCAGGAACCTGTTCTCATGTATTTCATCACTATAGTGTTTAAAAAATGTGAGACCCTGAATATTCCCCATTCTTCTGTTTTGCTTCCAGTGAGATATGGAATTCCAGTACTGTAAAAGAAATGCCTTATTTCCTCTTGTTTGACAAAGGGAGTTTTACTAAACTTGGATGAAATCTCCACAGGAGTTAAAGCTAGCTTGCAGTTTCACAGTTGATTTTTCTGAAGTGCTCTAAAATCGACAGGCTTATTTTCCATTTTCTGGAAATTAATAGTGTGAAATTCTAAGAAAAGTGATGGGAAATGCTCTGTGAATGAGTGGATAGCATAATGCAGTTTCCACTGCCATAATATTAGTCTTTACTTTGCACATACTGGGCATCTAATTATGGTTCCGAGATTGTCATTGCCAGGGACTGATCTCAGCTAGTGTCCATTACTAACTATCTGTATCCATTACTAGCTATCCATATCCATTACTGGTTATCCATTTCAAGCCAGCTGACAAGTGACAGACATATCATTTGTGCATGTGATGCTCTTATGCTCCAGGATTGATTCCAGGGTTTTTACAGCCTGTGTCTGACAGAGCATGGGGTGGTCCAGGTGAAGTCCTCTTTCTATTGCAGGCAGAAGCATTTACTGTGAGCTCTGCCTTAGTCCTTGACAGTTTTCTGAAAATCTCTCTTCAGGAATGGACAGAGAGCTGCAAGAGATGATGTTACTGTTGTAAACAGCTGAGGCATGTTGCCATGGCAGTAACTTGTTAGCCAGAGTTGGCTGTTCACAGCTTTATAGTGTGATGTATGATGTGCAAATATGCATGGGATAGCTCAGGAGCAACACAGTGTGCCATTTTGTCTCCTAAGGCTTATCTAGGTGAAATTATTTTTGATTCTTAAGTTGTTCCACAGTTTTAGGGGTTTTTTTAATATATATATATAACACTTTCTTTCTTTCCTAGTGACGCATAAAGACAAACAGGAAAGACAAGAAAAACCTGAAAAAAAGGAAAGACATGCAGGTAATGATTATATGTCACAAGTTATTTTACATTTGGAGATACCCCACAACTAATTCTCTACTCAATTTTCATTTGTATATCCCCTTGATTGGAAAAAAAAGTTCTAGAACTTTATGAATGAAAATAATTAGATCATATAAAGGTTTGCAGACTTACAGATGGAGCAGCATTTTGTGTTCCTTCTGTATGTTTTGGGGTTTTATTTGAAGAAGGGAGAAAATATATTTTGTACTCTGGATTACTATAATCTCATGGTAATCACTGAGTATTTCCAACACTTGCAATAAGTATGGTTGCTAAGAGACTAGTCATTCACAAAAAAAATGCCTGAAAGCCTGTAAACAAAGGTAATGAGTCAGACCATGAGCAAAAAGGTATTTTGAATACAGTATTGTGTAGAGCTGTTGCATAGGCATTGAATAGGGCAGGACTAATTCTTTACATAGTTGTAATAAATAGATATCTAGTACTGCTTTTTCTTCCACAATTCTTACTCTCTTTTTAAACACCAACACAAGGCTGGAGAGTATATAGCAATGCTCAAGCACATATTTTTGTGTTCTTAATATAATCTCATATGCCGAAGTCAAATAGGGAGATGAGTATTTTCACATGCATTGTCCCTGTAGGGTATCTCAAGGGCTATGAGCATATGCAAATATCAGTTCTGCATACAGGGAAAGTTACTGTGTAAATATTAATTGAAAAAATTAGCAAATCAGAGCCCACATAGGAGAATATTCCAGACTACTCACACTCAGTGTCTATTGCACAACTCATGTGCATTCTGAAACCTGAGCCAGAATCTAGTCACTACAGTGTAGTTAATTTCAATTTATAAAGTGGAAATTAAAAGCAAACAAAAAGCCCCAAAGAGCATTAGTTATAATGTCATTGCAATTAGATTTGTAATTAATTATAGTGTTTAATCATACATAGCTGGAAAAACTGTTAGTTGTTCTGTAGAGTTCAGAAAATCCTTCAGAAATTAACCAAAGTAATAAACAAGAAAAATAAAAAAAACTATAATCAAAATAAAGCAATAAATTATAGTATATAAATATTATTTTAAAAATGAAGCAGTAAACAGCATAAATAAGCATGACTCTTCTTGTTTGGCTTCTTTCATGGGATTACGGTTGTGCCAGAAAGGACATTCCTCTGCCAGCCAATGGCAAATATGTCAGAAATGGTAGAAGAGTTTTAGAAAGCTTAGGTCTCATGTTTTGGCATCATCAACAGACAGCAGCAGTATAATCAACCTTCCTCTTTCTTTGCATGGATAGCCATCGTGCCTAGCTGTGTTTCTTGATGTTTTTATTCTCCTTTTTCTCACTTAGAATGCAACATCTCTCTTTTTTAGTGACCATTAAGTATGTTGGTTTTTATTTCTAGCTATTCACAAAGAGAAACCTGAAAAGCCAGAAAAACATGAAAAGAAAGCCCCTTCTAAAGGTAATGCAGATTGTCATTAGACTTTGTACAATGTTAGATTTTCAGTGCTTATATAGTTTGGGAGAGAGTGGAGGTGACTATTTAAAATACAAATTTCTTCTAGTTCACGCTGTATGTTTTTTGGGTGCTCACACTTTTGCTTGAGCAGGCCACAAACAGCCCTTGATTGAAGTCTTGCTCAACATACATTTCTTGCTTAGTTTTCTTGTTTTGATGCAGAAAGGTAATTATAAATCATTCTTAATACATCTAAAGAAGTAAGCCTATGACTAATCTATTTGCATTCCTTGGTGCCTTTTCCCCCGCAATGGGATTCGGCAATTTGCCTGCAAAGGTTTTCTCTTGTGTATCAGTTTTCAGTCCGGTACAGACCTAATGCAAGTGTGTTTACTGTCTCTCAGTCTGGGTCTTCCATCATATCCAAAAATAGATTTTAATTTTCTTGCCTTTATTTTTTTCAGTAAGATTTTAATTTCAGTACATGATTTGCAATGTCCTCCATGGAAGAAGTTGCTTTGGTTAAGATTTACATATACACTAAGTATCATATATATTCTGAAGGAATATCGTGTGAGAGGTGATTTTCACTATTCTTTTGACTGATAATTCCACCTTTAGCCATGATTTGGACAGGGGAGTTTAAAAATCCAATCAGCTTTCCTCATTATGCCATTTTCTAAAGACCAACATTTATTATTGCTTGGCATTTCAATGCTTTTCTCTGAGGTTAGATATTTCTCTGAGCCAGATATTTCTATAATGAAGTTTGGTTTCAGTCTTTGCCTCTTCCTACTTCACTCAGTTAACTCTTGAAAAAAATAGTATGCAATATATCTTAGTATCAGTCTGTTATGGCATTCAGATTAATCTCATGATGATGAGATGCATAAATGAATAAGGTTTAATTTGAATCTGTTCAGATAATATAGATACAAATGTACAAATCACTCTTTTTTGGACCTGACCTAACTCTAAGGAGAAATGTAAAACAGAGTGAAGAGAGAAAGTAGCATGAAGACTTAAAGCCTGTATTTGAAAGGTAGCCATCTTTTAAAGGGCCATTGGTTCATTTTTTTTTTAGATATACTTTCAGTGTATAGTTTGAAAGGGTAGGTGTTTTTTTTTCATGAAATGAAATCACTCCTAAATAATCCAGAGAAAATAAATGCCCAGTGTCTGTGTAGATTTGGAAAGCAAATAACTTCCAAGCATCACTGAGATAGTCCTAAGGAGCAGCCAGCCTGTTTACCCATTTATCTTCTGCTAGCTAACCAAATAATCACTTAGAGCTTTAATGTGTTTAATAGCAGCCATGACTCCAGTCACTGGCTGGAAAATTTTATGAAGAATTTGGACACTTTATGGCTGGGGAGATTTGCTGCTGCAGCATGACATGTAGTCTTGCTGCCCTCTCTTGGGTAGCTTCCCTGCCATGTGAGTGCCGATGGGTGGACTTAAGGCACCAGGACACTTGTCCTCAGCATGTCCAAAGGTGCAATTCTGCCATCAGTGTGCTCCTGAGCTGTCTATTGCCAGTTTTGCCTCCCTTTTCCCTGGGGTCTGCTCTAAACTGGATTAGCTACCAGCAATGCTGAAGGGCTATTTCAACCATTGGCACTCCCGAGGAAATGAGGATGCTCAGGTCAGGATACCAACTTCAGGGAACAGACATACTGCAGGTTGGGTGACTACTTCCCTCACAGTCAGCAGATTTTCTCTATGTTCAGTAAAAAGATTCAAGGTACTTCTTCAGCTCCTGTTAAAGGCTCCAGAAAGCCTCAGAGATATGAATGCTATTTAAACACATCATTTAAGAAATAGCTATCTTTAAAAAAAAAACCAAAACCAAGTCTAGGTATCAACCATGGCTCATACAGGCAGCAATTCCAGGATGGAATTCAGTTAGAGAGGATGTTGCTATTATGTAGTTATCAGTTGAAAGAAGTGCAATTAACTCTCAAAGCTGTTTTGTTCTGGCAGTCTGTCTGGATGGTAACCAAGAGGGGAAAGATAGAAGTCTCTACATGAAATTTTGACAGCCTTTCTGGGACATAGCAGTGTGTGTTTACACACTGTATCCTGTGCAGATGTGAACTCACTCGAGTTGGGCTCTGAAGTGAGCACCAGACTTGGGACAGTGTTGGCATGACAGTGAGCACAGGCTAAGAAAAATTGCCTTTTTCTAAGACAAATGTAGCCATTTGGCTTCCTGTTGGCTGGTGCACAAGAAGATCAAGTCTGTGTCTGCTAGGAGCTTAAGCTGAGCAAATTTGTGTCATCTGGAATATGCAGTACAAACATTCTTTATGCTGCTTCAGATCTGGGTGACTCACTTGTCTTCTGGTTAGGGAGTCTCAACAGACATTTTGAAGACTTTCATCCCAATATGTGAACCTGAGAAAAAAAAGCAAGAATTTTGAAAACTGAAAACCAGGACTCACAAGGAAATGTGACATTCCCAGGGATGTTGTTGTGTTTTGTCAATATTTTCTCATTCTTTGAGAATTTTTCTCTGATATACAATTGTTCTCATTTCTAGTAACTCAAAAAGACAAACCTGAAAGACACGAGAAAGCTGAAAAGAAACCTCCTCCCAAAGGTATTAATTCATTTATACTACATTTTTTAACTTGATTTTACATTAAAATGTATAACTTTGGTTTATGCAAGAAGATAATATAATGTGCATGAAAAATCAGCTACATTGCACTGAAATTAAATTAATATATAACTGGAATTAAAATGTCTCTAGAACATCCAGGGGTTAGTTCTAAGCTTGATCCCTTTTTAAATCTGATAAAGTTTCAAAGATGAGAATTAAAAGTGTGAACCATTATTTCTCTGAAAAACAAGTAGTCCTATCTGTAAGTGATCTGGCATATATTTTCACTATAACTAGGTAAGAAAATTCTTCACTAGCCAGCAACACCTGGTCAGTTTACATGTTATTAAATTCAGTCTAGTCAGTCCAGTGGCTTAATAGAAGCAGAAGTATAGAGCCTTACAGAAAACATAGATTAGGTAGCACACATGTTTTGCCTCAAGGATGGAGACATTTAGAGCTATGAAGAAAACAGAAGTATGAACATCGCATTAAACAGATTAGTTTAAAACATATTCCGTGGCATTTTAAACTACTGTTGGATTTTCTGCTGGAGTGAACTAGAAACACACATATTGTCAGCATCCATGTCTCACATGAGAAAAAAGTCACTGACACATAAAAGCAGAAGGAATACTCCAGGTTTCACCAAGCTCTGTGTAGCTTCAGCCACTGATATTTGCAATTTGGTAATCGTCTTTGGTTACCTCCTCACTCTGCTGAATTTGTCTGTCTCAGAGTAGTCTTTCAGCCTGATGGAAAGTGTAGAGACAGACTCAAGAACTCAAGACTTCTTGGACAGAGACCTAGAATCAGTACATGAAAGCAACCCTTAAAAATAGCCACACACGAACTACTTTTGCAGCTTACAACAGAGTTTAGCTCTGATCTCTGAAGTCTAAAGTTACTCAGATTTTGTCTGGAAGTACCTTCCATATTTTTTTTAACGACCAACATTTGCCTCCCTAGTTTATACCATATAAACTGTTATATGGTTGTTAGAAACACTTCATATTATATGCTATAGCCTACTATATTTAGTATCAGTCACGTACTTGGTAGGACTGAAGATAAAATTTGTTTGTATCTCATATTTCTCTTTAAGTCCATCTGGTTGAGGGGATTATAGTTTTCACCAGATCTGAACAAGGTGTTAATAGCGAAGAAATGCTCATTAACATTAGCACAATATAAAATAAATGGCATTGAGGATTATGTTGGGGGAAAAATGACACTGAAAACTTTTTCTTCATTACCTGCAGAGGAGAAGAAAGTAAAGAGCACTAAAGTGGAAGCAAAAGTTAAAAAGGAAGTGAAGGATGGAAAAGGAGAAGCAAAGACACCAGAGAAGGTCAAGCAGACAGAGATTAAAACAGAAGTTGGGCTAATAAAGGCCAAAACGAAAGTTAAAGAGGAGAAAGCTCTTCAGACTGTAACTAAATCGGACAATAAAGGTAAACAAAATGAGGAGGAAACGGATGAAGAACTTAAAAAGATAGGGAAGAAGGAGAGAGAATGAAGTTAAAGCTGTCAAGGACCAAAGTCCACCCATGAAAAAAAATGTGCAGTACAAATAAATTCCAGATGAATTTCATCCTGCTAGAAGACTATTGAAAATAAAATTAGTTGAATCTATAGAACCAGAAGTTTCTAACAGTTTGTCATGGCTAAAGATACATTTTAGTTTAAATCCTTTTTACCGAGGACCAATTTGTCTTCAGATAGGTCAGAGTCTTCATGGATTTGCTCAGTGGCATCTTATGTAGTGGATAGCTAGCAGGGTTATTTTGGAAAATACACCTTGTTCAACGACCTGTTGGGAACTTTATTTTGTTTCTACATCAGCATATGTCCTCTATAATATTAAAGAAAGTAGCAACAGAGAAAAAAGAATGTAACAATTTGTCTAACATCGCATTATATGAGGCACTGTCATGTTGTCAGGTATTGTATGACATAGTGACATACCTGCCTGATGTAATTTGATGTGAACAGCTTCCAAATTTCTCCTAAAAAGGAAAGAAATGCTATTACCCTGTTGAAAGGAAGAAATTGAGTGATAAAACAAAGAATCAACATTCATCAACACCGTGTAGTTAATGAAGGTGTTAACTATATGCTCCCCTTTGTCAGAGCCAGCCTGGGTTCTTCTACTCCTGGGTTGCACTGACTGGTTCTCTGACTTTCCAGTGGCCCTTCCATGGCATGGGGTACAGTTTCATATGAATGAAGGCAGAAGAGCCTGGCTTTCTGTAAGAAATACTACACTGCAGCCACAGGATTAGCCTGACATTGATAGAGGCAGCTCAGCATTGCATGGCACACCTATCTGATCCTTTCAGCTGATAACCAGAGATAAACAGTTGTGCCTGAGCATCAAAGAAGCCATCCCTGCCTGGATATCTGAATCTGGCTGGGCAGATTACCTCAGAATTTCATAACCATCAGCTCTCTACCCCTTAGGAGTTGCTTAAATTATACATTTCTAGAAAACTGAGAGGGTTTGAGATATAGCCCACTTTCTGGCATGCCGAGTGTGCTGAACTAGTAGTTTTTAACATTTATTTATCTATTTATTTATTTATCTAACTTGAAATATAGGGGCTTTTGAGGCAGGAAATCAAAGCAGCATCGATCACACTGATTACAGTGACCAAGGGGAAAGTTCAGCAAATTGTTCAGATCCCTGAGGAGGTGCAAATCTCTTTCGATTTTTGTTTGCTTTGACAGAATTTCAGTGCACAGTGGGATCCACTCCATACTGTTCAGGATAAAGCTCTCAAAAAGCAATGGTGTGCAGTTGAGGCACTTTACTCCCTGACAGCAAAATATTTGGAGTAGGAATCAAAGATTACAGAGACCAGTGGAGAGTAGTGGTGATTTTTGCTTGTTGGTTTGGTTTTTTTTGAGGGATTCCCTGCCCCAACCCTCCACCCCCAACCACCACCTTTAGCAAAATGAGCCATCTTGATGTCAAACATTAACAGATCACTATGAAAGACTGCTTTAGAGTGTGACTGTAGTGACTGTGTACAGGATCCTGGCAGGCAGTTGAAAGTGGAAATGAACAACTGGAGTGGAGGAAGGAAGGAGCCTCTTCAACAGCCCTTATCAGTGGAGATAGGGCTACACACATCCAGTGAAAGCTGCCTTTTCTACTGTCATCCTTCCCTTTTCCACCATAAGCCACTGCTGTCCAGTTAGATACTCTCAGAAAATTCATTTCTGTATTTCAGTCCCACTGTGACCCAAGGTGAATATAATTTTGAAGCTAATGCAGTTTTGCCAAGATTTCCTGATCCTGCAATCTTTACCTTTCCTTGCTCAAGGGAGTAGCTTTGCTAGCTTATCTGAAACAATGTAAAAAAATATAGCAATGATCACAGAAGAGTTGTTATGATTTCCCTGCTGTTGCATCACTTCTTACTTGGATTAAAATTTAAAAAGATAGCTCATCTCCCTGGGTAAATCGCATGAAGTCCAATGACAGAAATATGTATGAGCATTTTTATCATTAACAATCTAGTCCCAAACTTTGACATGATTTATTAGTACTTGGATGAATATTTGTACCACCATTACAGAGTTATAAGGTAAAAACTATAGTGTGAAATTTCCTTTTTAATAAGAGAGTTTAAGTTAAAATGAATCTTTAGCCATGAAGAGACATTTGAAAAATCATACTCATTTAAAATTCCCTAGGTTTCAATCTTTGTTGGTTGCTAGCATTCACATGAACTTAAATGGGTTGTTATAGTACACCTTGCTATTTCATATACTGTAGAAGTGATATTTTTGCTATTCAGAGTTTTACCTCTCCCGTCAATTTGTTTTATAAACCCCAGTATTTATGGCTGAGCCACCAGAGAAATCCTGTGAGGAGAAAATTAATACAAAATCTTTTTTCTCAGGTACAATCAAGATTAAGGCTTTTTAAAACAGTTTATTCAAATTATATTTCCACAAAAACAAAGCAAAACAAAACCCCACAAATAAAAACACTAAAAAGCCCCCAACAAAACAACCTCCCAAAACCAATAACACAGACTGTTTTATTCCTGGTCTATAATACTGTGGTTAAAGAATGGATTATTTGAGGTTTTAAAAGCAGTGTTTGCAGCCATATCCCTGTGTACATTCTGAAAATTTTGCCTCAGGTTCTACAACACAGACTAGTATGACTCTTGTCATGTTGCTAACACATAACAGCTGCATAGGCTTCTGTCAACTAGTAGAAATGATCGGATATTATTGAACTGGCAACCCTTTTCCCAATTTCTACATCTGTATAGGAAAGAATGACTTGAAAGCTGAAGTTCTCCATCCGAGGACTTCTATGGCAGTAAACATAACAGAGCAGCAATCACATAAATGCCTCCTCACCAACTGATACTGATGGTCCACTGATCTATGTATGAAAGCAAATAATATGAGTGTCACATACTTGGAAACTGCATTTTACATTTTTAAGACTGCAAAGTCGGCATAATTTTGTTTTGAAGTTGACAAAGAGAATGTGTCTTTGTAGGTGAGTAGGACAGAGATGCAACAGGAGATGGAGAGAGGAAGGGATGTAATTTCTGTAGCCTAGGAGCTCTGCTAGAAGAGTCTAGGACAGATGGATGAATATGCTTCACTCAAGGAGAGTTGGCAACTAAGTTAGTTAACGAGAGTTAGCATTTGGTCATGAACCTTAACTTTCAAAGACAATGCCCCTTAGAGTCCACTGGGGCAATATGCTTTTTTCCCTGACCAACTGAAGAATCCAGAAACAATACTGGAATTCTTTTCTGCTCTGTTACAACAGATAACTTTTCTTCACTATTCTTAATGTTAGAAATTTTTATTAAGGTCTCCTACTCTGCTTATGTGTAGGATAAATCAATAGACAATCAGCATTCTTGAAATCAGACTTTCATTTAGATTCAGAAGCCTGAATTTCTGAATAGTGTAATTTT